CCTTCCTCTTCGGTAAAGGCGGGGATGTCGGTTGTAGAAGAAACACTTGCCTGCGAACTTCCAGTCGCTGTGTGTCTTCTGTCGGCTGTCAGGCTTGTTACATTGACGTATTGACCACCAGTAACAAAATTTTTATATGAAAAGTCACGATATTTGTAGCAATGCTGTATCATCAACAACACATGAATAGGTCATCAATCCGTGCCTGTATTTGATGTTGATAAAGTCAGGCTCAATTTTTATACCCATCGAATCCAAAGCATTACCGTGTACGGTGCGACTACTCTTTCAATTGACTATGATTGACTATGACTGCTACAACCCTTTGGCAGCTGCGAACCCGATCGCTAGCAAAACGATCTTTGAACCTGTTTGCATTCATGCGCATACTAAATTTGAGCTATTTTTGAGCCATCTCGTCGTGCAATCCCTTTAGCAAATAAGGTGTGAATCTGATATGTTTGCCACCAAGGACACTCTTTAATAATTTTAAATTCAATAAAGCTGTTGACGAAGTGTTCGGCTGATCAAAAATGATTGTTTCGAATAAGGCACCATTGATTGAAAAAGATATGCTCTTTTGTGATAACATATGAGGTTAACCGGAATTGAACCACAATAAGGAAAAACACCAAATCGAATAATTGCTTTCCGTCTTGCTTACTTTGACTGATATCGATGTAATTGCTGGCAAGAAATGGAAACTCCAAGCCTTCAAAAAGATTTGAAAGATGATCGCATTAAAGTGAGCAGTACACGCAAATAAGCACGATATCAGATTGTATAGCGAAATATGATTCATACTCTACATAATTCTTTCGGCTTGAATTTTACTGTTGGAAATATCGCAGCCTTATTGTGGTCTAGTACTTTTTGATTTTCCTTCTCACTTTCAAATCGTTTTAGAGGCAATGCGATGCCTGGAGTCTATCTAGAATCGGGTACGTACCTGAGAAAAAAATGCCTGTTGTTGATGAAATGACATTTTACATCTGACAAAACCATTTCGAAATATACCCTAAGCATAGATGTAGTTGTCTAATTGAG